TGGGCAGGAGTTTTCCCATTCACCCCGGCGCTGACTGCTGAGGGAAGGGTGGCCTAGTGGTTTGGGGGCTAGGCCAGGCGTTGGAAGACCTGGGATTGATTCCCTGTGTGACCTTGGGCAAGTGTTAGCCTCTCTCTGCCTCAATTTCCCATCTGTACCATGGTCAGAACAGTAATTCCCTCTCTCACAAGGCTGCTGTGCGGGTAAATTCATTAACAGGCTGTGAGATGTTCACATATTGTGGAGATGGGGGCAGATAAGACCTTACCTAGATAGGGCAGGAGATTTTTTTATGTTGGGGGCTGAAACAGAGGCTCCTCTCCCACAGAGGTTGCCTGGGTTCATTCTCTCCATATCTGAGATCATCCATGAGCAAAGATTCAAAAAATCCTTCAGAGGAAATCAGTAAAGCGGGTAGGAACATTTTCTATCAAAATATGCAGCTTCATTTTGGCTAAAATGTTTTGCAGAGATGCGTCAATTTTGATGGAAAGGTTTCTGAAGTCCACAGCCAGAGGCGACACGTGAGGGGGGGCACAACACCCCGCCCCCATTTGAACCAGTCGCCCCTGTCCACAGCTCTCTGGTTGCTTCTGCAGAGAGAGAGAAGAGCATATTTCTACACTGCAGGAAAAGGTGCATTCTTAACTCAGGTGGGTAACAAGCATTGGCTAACCTGGGTGAAAATAGCAGCAACTCGGGCTAGCATTAAAGCCTGAAATGGAGCCTGGGGTTGAATTTGAGGGGCTAACCCCAGTTGCTTTAAAGGACTTTGCTGCTGTTTTAACCCAAGTTAGCTAATCCCGAGTTTAGAACACACCTTTTCCAATGTGAACGTACACAGAGAGAGGCACTTCCGAAAGATTTTGGTTTGGTTCAAACCACAGTGAGAACTAATTTTCTAAACCTCAGAAGCTATCCTGCAACGGAATTGACATCAGTTGGTCAGCTCAAAATGGGTTCTTGTGTGAAGAAAGAAATGCATTACTGTCCCTGGCACAATCCAGCCTCTTATAAGGAGTTGGGCGCAACTAGGCAAGCAGGCTAAATGTTTATGGGAAAGCACAGGCTGGGCAGGGCGCACAGATTGCCAAGTGAGGGTGAGTCCCAAGTTCCCATCGCTTCTAACCGAGAGCCAGCCGCCCTTGGGACGTTCTGCATGCCAGCTCTGGGAGAGTCCAGGAAGGAGCGATGAGTGGAATTAAACAGCCCCTTTCATCTTGTAAGTAAGCCACAGATGTGAGTAAGCCACCATCTGTGCAGTCATCCCTCATGTGACCAATGAAATCATTGCATGCAAATTGGGTATAAAGTAAGGCTGGTTATTGGTTGAGTTACCTCTGATATCACAATGGTCTAGGCTCTTGGCATGGCATAGACATATCCCTTATTGTAGCTGTACATCACCCGCATGCAAGCTGTAAAGTCTAAATGGCTGAGAACGTAAAAATTAGGTGGTAACAGGCTGTGGAACTTAATGATGAATGAACCTGGTGATATTGCGAACAAAAAGAGCTCTCAGCCATGCTTAAGAATATAAGAACGGTCATACTGGGTCAGACCAAAGGTCCATCTAGCCCAGTGTCCTGTCTTCTGACAGTGGCCAATGCCAGGTGCCCCAAAGGGAATGAACAGAACAGGGAATCATCAAGTGATCCATCACCTGTTGCCCATTCCCAGCTTCTGGCAAACAGGCTAGGGACATTGATGGACCTATCCTCCATGAATTTATCTCGTTCCTTTTTGAACCCTGTTATAATCTTGGCCTTCACAACTTCCTCTGGCAAGGAGTTCCACAGGTTGATTATGCATTGTGTGAAGAAATACTTCTTTTGTTTGCTTTAAACCTGCAATTTATTAATTTCATTGGGTGACCCCTGGTTCTTGTGTTGTGAGAAGGTGTAAATAACACTTCCTTATTTACTTTCTCCGCACCAGTCATGGTTTTATAGACCTCTATCATATCCCCCCTTAGTCATCTCTTTTCCAAGCTGAAAAGTCTCAGTCTTATTAATCTCTAGTAGCTTGTAGCTGCTTCCATTGCTTCCCATGGTAGGCTCCAGAGTGACACGGAGTGACAATCCTGGAATCTTAGGACATAGATAACAGCAGCCATTCAGTAAAATGCTCCATGGTAGCTAAGACCCTGATGTAGCTACTGACTCTGGGTACCCCCGTCTCAGGAGAATTAAGGGTTTTTTCTCTTTCAGATAATGGCCGTAGCTGCAAGCTCAGGAAACGTGCTGCATGTACAGTCGCAGTGATCATTGGACTTGTCATTCTGATTGCTGCTGTTTTTGCTCTGACAGGTGAGTGGCTAATTCAGCGTCTGTGTCGCTCAGAGTGGTGAATAATTTCATGCCCGGAGCACCACAGTTAGGTCAACCCAACCCCTGGTGGTGTAGACCCGACTGGATCGACAGAAGGATCCTTCCTTCCGTTGACCTAGCTGCCGCCTCTCGGAGAGGTGGATTAACGACCGTGAGAAAACCCTTCTGTTGATGTAGGAAGCTTCTACACTCTGGCACTACAGTGGCCCGGCGGCAGCAGCACCATCGCAGTGCTACTGTAATGTAGACATACTCACTGGCTCTCTCCTCTCGGGCATCAGCCGTGGGGGCCGGGAACACCTCTTCAGACTCACTCTCCTGCTGCCTTCTGTAGCCTTGTTTGTGATGACAAAACTGGCCCTTTAAATTGTCTCCCTGGGGAAGTATGTGTCATTGTAACAAACCAGATCATCTTCTGTAACTGAGATAATACAAACATGAAAAGAATTTCTCCTCTTAAGAGCTCACCGTCTCGGGGTTGTCCACTCTACAGAGTCTATACTGGCCTGGCTAAGTCGCTGTAGCTACGTTGGCATAACATCAAAGCATAAACCAGTGGTTCTCAACCAATTTACCACTGGGTTGCATATGGAGCTCTCTATGTGTTATATGGGCCGCATCCACACAATATCTA